TCTTCGTCGTACGTTACCGCCGCGGCCTCCGAAAACAGAGAGTCGTATATCCTCGGCGAACTTTCTTTTCACTCTACTTCTATTCTCATTACGGCTTACGCGCGTATTAATCGGCGATCTGCGGCACAAGTGCGTTAGAGAGTCACACTCTCGTTTAATAAGCGAGCCTTTATCAAGCTTATCATCTGCGCCGTCGTCGAGCGAGCAATCTATCGACCGACAGAGATTGATCTATCATTTATGGTAAATACCGAGCGCTTTGATAGATTAACTTTCATGCATATCTAGAGCAGCGCGATATTCCTCGCCCGATAATTATGAAAATTCAAGGAAGCCGATTAAAAAGAACGGATGTCCCTTCAACCGCAATATATACGACGGAATCGCGCAGGGACACGTCTACGTCTGAGAATGCACGACTCTGGGAATTGCTGTTAGGTTGCTTGGTTATCTACGTTATAACCGTGTAAATCGCGACGATACGAACAGCCACGTTGAATCTTTCAGAAGCACATACTTGACATCTAAATATAACGATATAATTATCTTTATATTATCAAAGATATGTAAGATGATTTAGAGAGAGGGACAGATTAGATCGGAATTAATTTATGAGAGAAATATAAAGGCCTTTATATATTTCTCTATTTGTGCTTCTAAATGTGACTTATGAGCCTTCTGATTGGCTCATAACCACATTCGGAACCGCATTTGCTTAGATTTAAGTTTGAACTCTATTTTAACAATGTGTTCGGCGCATTTAAACGGAGTTCAAATATAAATCCAAGTTTCAGGTACCACTGAAAAATAGGCCCTTAGAGACGCTTCTACCGAGTTATAAAATCGAGTTTAGAATAAGGGCCAAAGAATATTCGCTTACGTGAATCAATTCCGAGAAAAAAAACACCGGAAGACTCTAGTCTCATGTATAAAGAAAAGTTCCGCGATATCGGGGCGCGAGTAGCGTTCAGGAAAACAGTTCGAGAGAGACGCATCGATATTGAAGTCACGCGATGAATCCGACGCATCAGTTCGCTCGTAAAGAATAAATATTGATTAGTGAGCACGCGCGAGAGAGAAAGAAAGTAGGGGCGTAAGGATCCGCGGGTCTCTTTCATTCACCCACGCCGCTGTTTGCTCGTTTACCGTAATGGCTCGGCCACAAAGGTGCGACAGACAGACAGGCCAGACCGAGAGAGAGAGAGAGAGAGAGAGAGAGAGAGAGAGAGAGCGCACGCTCATGCACGCTCATGTGTGCTGTGTTCCGCCGCAGCAACCTTCGTGCAGCACGATTCTCGCAGACTCGGCGAACGCTGCGCGCGTCTTTCGAGAAGTTTCCCGTTGGATGAAAGCGGACTCGCCGCCACCGCCGCCGCTCACAGCGGCCCAATGTAGCTTGGTCGCGACGAACGGCGAGACGAGCCAACCTAACCTCTGCTCCGTACCCTTGAACCTAGCAGACGCTCGCGACGTTGCCGCCTCGCGCAAGTATGCCGTGCGACGCGGCGCGAAGCAAAGTGAGGCGCGGAGTGAAGTGAGGCGCACGACGCGATCGGCCGGCTACGTTCGGCCGCGCTCGGCCGTGCTCGTGCGTGCTTTCTTCGCAAGAATTCCGCCGACAAAGCGAGCGGCGGCGGCGGCGGCGACGGCGGCCGCCGCGACTCTGAACAGGCTGACGTCACGCGTCAGCGTTACGCGTAGCGTTACGTAAAAAACGTGCGGCTGGCTGGCTCGCTGGCTGGCGAACTCTACTCGGTGGAGCGTGTCGCCGCGTTGCGTAGCGTAGCGTAGCGTGGCGTGGCGTGGCGTGGCGTAGCGTGGCGTTGCGTTGCGTCGCGTCGCGTCGTAGAGCGCGCGTTGAATGTGCGTACCTTCGCGTCGATTATGGTCTCTTGTTCCACAGAGACGATCGATTTTTCTCTCGTCACTCCGCTTCTCGCTCTCTGTCGATGAATTCCTGAATTTTCGATCGACGGAGATGCACGGAAGGAGGCGACACGACTCCCAAAGCAGGCTTCCGTCGCGATTCTTCCTCTGTATTCACGCCGCGTTTTAACGCTGAACGCGCGCTCGCCAGCGTTTTCAAGGTTGACGCGTCTCTAGCACGGCGATCGTACAGAACACAATGTTATCGCGACAATCGGTCGGCCGTTTTTAGCGGTAAACACGAGATACGGATCCATGCTTTGCGCGCCGTGCTATTTTTCTCTCTCTCTCTCTCTTTCTCTCTCGCTCTCTATCGAGCTTTGTCGAGTGCAAGGTATCGTAGACGAGTATTCCGCGAGTCTCTTTGATTGTGTAGTGTGAGAAGGATCGCGCGTAATGTAAACACGCAACGAGAATCAGACACAGACCGTGTCTAGCGGGGCTTAAACGCGTCGTGTTTTAGCTACCTCGATAAAACGTTAGCAACCATGGAATTGTATGCACGCGTTCTCTTTCTTTGCCCCTCTCCCTCTCACCACTTTCTTCTTCCTCGTTCTTTCTCTTTTCTTCTTCCCACGCGGTTCTTGTTTCTTTTTTACGCGCCACGCGATTCCGTGACGTCAACAGTTGTACTCGGTTTTGTCGGCGGGCTCTCCTGGATTCCTGCTGGAGAAAGCATAGACAAACATAACCCACATAGAACGGTCGCGAGCGCAACGCGAGGTCAACGCACGACGAAAACCGGAAATTCGTCGTCGTCTACCTAGGTGAGTAGGACAGCTCCCGTTGTCTTATTTTCTTCTTATTTCCTTTTTTTCCTCGCCTACTTTCCATTCCTTTTCGTTCGCCCGACGAACGTGTACGTTTTAACGCGAGCCATGTTATTCGTCTTATCGGGCCGTAAACCGGGCTAACAGGATGACGCCGTTCGAGCAAAGGAGACGGGGGCGTTATCGGATTATATGTGTGTTGGAGATTTTTATATTGATGTTCCTCCGCCTCTCACTCTAATAGCACGAGAAGACTCCGGAGGACCGCCGAGATGATCGATCCTGCCCCCCGCGTCCCTTTGCCAGTGACTAAAGTGCTTGATTACTTCCGTAATTTTTCTGTCTTTCTCTCTTCCAAATACGCGGAGAGCCAACAGAATACGGCTGACGAAGAGAAAAGAAACGAGTTTAGCTGTTGTGAATATCAAATAAACACACAGCTCGATCTATAAAGATGTCCCGAAATAAAAAGCGTTTTGTGTAATATCACGTGTTCATAAAAACTGTTCACCGACATCATTCTTGATTAATACCGTAATATGAAGAATCTGAATGAATTTCGAGTCATTCTGCGAGCAGCTGTAGTAAAATTCAGCAAGAGCAGTTTTCTCCTCTTTCGTACGTTGCGATTAGAGCGACCAACCGTCCCGAATTTTGCCGGGACACATCGATTTTCAGCTTTCTATACAGAGACCCCAAGAAACCTCAAGCCATTTGTCATATCATGTAACGTAAAATAAATAATATAAAATTGTAGTACCACGTATTACTTGTACGTGATGATAAAAAAAGTACATTTCACGTTAATTTTCCATTGTTTTTATACACGTTAATTGTTTGAGAAAAATGCTGACCTAATACACGCAAAAAAATGACTTAGTAATATCAGCTAAGCCGCGGTAGCTGATTCAAACTTAGTCAAAAGGCTAATCGTTTGCTGTCAAGAATTGGCTATGATAGCTAAAATGCATTTGCTATGAAATACAAATATAATAGATGTCATTAAAAATACACATTATTTCAAGTAGCTGAGAAAATAGTAGTTATTCCTAAATTTCTTATCGTATGTATTAAAGAAGTTTGCCGCACAGCTACAATCATTGGCTACAGTCATTTGTTTCTAGCAGCTAATATTTCTCGCTGTAGCGCCTAAGTTTAACAGCGAATGAATTTAATTTCGGTAGTATCGACATTAGCTGTCCCTATTTCAGTGACACATCTTATTTGCCACATCTATTTTTTAGCTCTGGAAGCTAGTTTTTTTTTGCGTGTAATGAATAAACATTTTGCTTATCTATCTATATCTAATTTATCTAATCTATTTTCCAATCTATTTTCAAAATATACTTATATATGTACAATAACAAAGAAGGAACATGTACTAGTGTTAATATTATTAGGTATTTTGTAATCTGATGTATCGATAGTAAAATCCCGAATGATTTTGCTTGCGTCCCGATTTTCTAAAGGCGATACCCTGAAATTAGTTGACTAAGAGTTGGTCATCTTTATCGCGATTATTACGTTGATCATATGTGATTTACGCAATTCACGATCTGAAATCGCAGAAATCCAAGAAAATCATTTACACAAAGAAACGCGAGATCGAAGCGTCTTTTCTCTGGCACCGCATATCCTCCTTCTATACTCATTCTCTCTTTCTCTCTTCTCTCTCGTTCTCTCTCTGTTTCTCTCTCTCTCTCTCTCTCTCTCTCTTTCGGCTCTCGTGCTTCTACTCTGCGCGTCCATGTCTCCCGTTCGCACGCTCGTGTGCCATTTACGAGGCAAACCGGTTTACACTTTTTGCGAGCCTCGGCTTCGCGAAGAATGTTGATTTTTGCGATATATACCGCTGGGAACCTAACCTACATCATTATCCGGATGAGCTGAGTGTGCCTGAAAACTCGCGCGCGAGTTACACGAGACGTGTCTTTGATCGTTTAACGCTGACACGAGCGAAGGAGTTACGTTAGAATTATTCTGGGAAAGGCTCCACGCGGAAATGCACTCGTGGCGCATTTTATACGAACATTGTCTGCAAATTGGTTTATTTCGCTGGATCGCGCTCGCGCACCGCCGTTGTCGGCGAGTGTTCGTCATCGCGCGTCGAAGTCGACACTGAGTAGTGCGACTCGACGAAAAATCGATATGAAAGTTCATTACATGAAATCGAACAGCCGAATCTCCCTAAGAGATCGGAGATGGGATTTTTCGATACGAGAGGACTAGGAACTCAATTTCACGGAGCGAACCTCCATCGTGTGTCCTTTTAATCTTCATCCGGCCCTCGCCTCTATTGACCCGCGTCAATTAGATTAAATTGCTCCCTCGAGGCGTCCACCCGATTCATTCGCGTTATCGCAGATATTTTTAAATTCATACACGAGAAAACAGATTATTTCCTATAGGTTGGAGAGGTGAGATTCGAATGCACGAGAGAAATTAAAATAAAATGTATCAATACCCAAACATACATCTAATTCTGTACATCTTCATTGTTTTGCTCTTTAAATACGAATATTTAAACTTTCTACAAATATTTAAATTTATGAATACTTAAACTTTCTATAAAATATATATACGCAATTGAATATATTTTATATTGAAAGTTTAAGTATACGTATTTAAAGCTCCTAACTCTTCGTCGCGAAACTCTTAATTAATGACGTCAGAAGCGAAAAGATAGAGAAGAATTTTTGTTAAGAATTTTTGCAAGATATATTGAAGTAAAACGATATATCCGTAAAATGCAATCGATCAAGTGGACTTACAAAATAGTCTGAATACTTTCCTCTTATTCATTTAATCGATAAATAACTCTAAAATATGGCATGCAACCTTCCTTGTTAGACTTACTTTCTCCCACGATTTTGTCACTTTAACTTTACGGCTATTTATCGATTGTCAGGGTGAGAGGAAAGTGCTCGGACTATTTTACAAGTCTGTGCTCAATTGATTATAGCTATTATTTTGTAAATATATCACTTTATTTCAACGTACTTTACAAGAATTTTTAATATATATTTTCTCGTTTTTGACGTGTCGCAAGCCAAGATAGCCGCTGCAGAGGACTAAAAACCTTAAGCTTAACCTACAATATGCTCTTTACTTTCTACTTCTTGTTCTCTCTCTTTCTGGCTTAAGGCTTGAGACAGAAAGAGATAAAGAGAAAGAAACAGGAAGCAAAAATTTATATATTGTAGCTTTAAAGACGAAAAAACAACAATAACGTCCAGAGTTAGTCCGAGAATTTTGTACTTTTTTTGCCTTGATCGCGTTCTTGTATCGAGGCCGTTTTGAAGCACGGTCTAACTCAGTCGCATGAAGAGGGAGCAGAATTGAGGGTTGATTCTTGCATTTCTCGCGGTACGGGGTGACAATCGTGCGGCGCGCACCAGGTGCGTTTAATTTCCGTAAAAGTGCGCGAGCGAGTGACTGGAGGGTCGGGACGTCGAGGAGGGGGAGGAAGAGGGACCTTTAACAATACCGTCACGAGTGAAAAATGATAATGAGGCACAGTGCTGTAGGTTAGTGAGAACAATGGCCAGCTCACGGCTAATGAGTCGAGACGCATGCGGCACGCGTGCCGCGTAGTAAAAATATTTTCGGCGCCGTGCCGTGCCTCGAATGACGAACGCGCGAATCCGCCGAATTTGTCCTCGACCGTGGAAGAAACACGCATTCTCGTCATCGTCGTTGTTACTGTCGCCGTTTCCTTCGCTCATCGACGTTGCATTTTAATCCCATCGCGGTCGCGCTCGTGCCGACGATCGTTCGCGTCGTCGCACGCACGTGTCGCCGCGTCACAATGATCCTCGTCGTGTGTGTTCGCCGCGCCGGATTCGCGAATGTAAATAATCGCGATGTTTCATTCCCTCCTTCCTTCTCTCGTTGTCGACCGACACCTCGTCCGACAACTCTGCTATAGCTAAGAATATAGAAGTATCCCCGAAACCGTTGCCCTTTCCGCCGTGGTGGATGCCCTGGACGACATTGTTTTCCTCGACGAAAATGTCAACCTGCGACTTTTGAATTATTAATTCGATTGAAAATACGGGGCTCTTATGTAACTTACAAAAGAGAGAGAGCCCCGTCGTCAATAAGATCGGGGAGAAGAGGAATAATTTCTCTCGTCATTCCCGCTAAGGAGAAACTGTCCTCAAATTGGTTGTAGTGGAGTCTGTCAGAAGCTAAAAGGACGTCCGATGTAATTCTGGGACACTCGACGTGAACACTCGACGATACTCACGGTGACCTATAATCAGAAGCCCAAGACAAACAACCCTGTTTTGTTGAGTTTTCAGCCTTGCACGAGAATAAAGGTCTGTCGCGAATAAACGTGGAAATCGGTTCCCGCGCGTCGTCCACGGCAGTCGGAGTAGAGTTCGCCGATCGTCCACGCGATCAACGACGCGAAGCGCGGATGGATCGCGGAAGATCCGGCTTTTCGACTCGCGGCGGACGCCGTGATCGGTGAACGATCGGCGCACCGCTGCCAGCGAACGGTACGCGGTGTGCATCTCCGCGCGCGCGAGTATTACCGGCGTGAGTCGAACGGGTCTCGGCTCTTCGCGCGCAACCAGAAACCGGTTGGACGAAACTTTCGAAAATTCCAGGATGACGTAGCCGCGCTCTTGACGGCACGGAGGCACACCGAAGACACACAGGACGCGCTTCTTTCGTTTTTTTTTTTATTTACTGTTACTTACGTAACGAGGCACGAGCCTGTCTTTCTCTTTCTCTCTCTTTCTCTGAGTAGACGACAAAATAGTAGAGATTACAAAAGATCTTTCACTTACTATGTAGCTGCCTTATGGAACATGATATCCCAAAAATTCGAATTGCAAGTAGCTTTGGTGATTTCAAGGCTGAATTTTACTCTTTACTGCTTAAGCGTGAGGATGACATGGCTTATTGATTTTATCATGTCTGGGGCATGGACTATTTTCTCTCTCTCTAATATATTTCTTTCTCTAATATACTCATTAATTGCCCTGTACTTATTCTCGTTTATTATAGCTCTTTTTGGCTGAGAGCTTTCTTAGATCACTTCATAATTAACTCACACTGCATTTTGAACAACACTTCTATTCATTTTATGTTTAATGTTAGCAGCTTCTGTTATCGTATGCTTTTTTTAGCACTTGAGGAGATTTATCCCAGAGCGTAAAGTGGATAATGTCGTTTTGTCTCTCTCTTTTTTCGCTCAAGTTCTCATGTCCTACAACTCATCGAGGCATAATAATCGGTCGCACCGAATTCGCGCGCGTTATTGTCCATATTATCGCCGCGTTAGCGCGAAAATAGTCGCGTGTCGCGTGCAAGGCTGAAGTCACGTTTCGTAATGAAATGTTGTCCGCTTGCACTTACCTTCGAGCCGACAAGTAGTTTTCTCAGGCCGCCAGGCTACTTGGAACACTGACAAGAAATCACTCGCGCGCGTTATTATTCGTACCCGGGGTCGTGCCGGGCAAAAAGCGGCGGCTTATTATAAATCGCGACAAGAAAATAGTCGCGCTCGATATACCGCGCTACGCGAAAGCGAAGCTGAACGCGGCACTCAATATCCGCAGAAAAAGGGTGCTCGCGCGAAAAAGTGAACAAGTAGTCACGTCGAGGGGAGCTAGCAGTTGCAAAAAAGTGAGTCGGATAATTTCCGACGAAAGCCGTCGGCGAGTCGAGCGACAAGGCAGACGATTGAAAAATGTAAGATGTGCGCACAGGGAAAAGTCATAAATAATACGGGGAGGAAAGATGAAATTATCCGCTAAATATATAAATTTCGAAAGAGTTCATTACTGAACCCGTCGGTGCGACAGTCGGTTGAATTGCAAACCGTTTAATGATATCTCCGTTAAGTAATTCTTGAAAAAGTCGTTACCGAGGCGAGCGAATGTCGTAATGATACCTTGTCTGTCGCGACGTGTCGCGATGCATTATCGATTGAATGCTTAATGAGACATGCACGATCAGTCGGCACGTGATCCAGGATATTGACACGTTCCCGCGAAATTCACGCGAATTTTGCCATTCGCGCAAGCGAACGAAAGAGTACCACTAAATGCGGAAAGGATACATCCGCGATAAGACATTGAGATGTACTCACGTGCGCCGCGTTAATCGATCCGTGACGATGGAGCTCGGTGATTCGGATAGAACATCTGGATCTGCTGGGTCCTTGCTGATACCTTGCCCGTGATCTACTGTAAGTTACAAAAAGAATTAGTGAGCGAATTTTTCGCGAAAAATACACTGAGAAAAAAAGCGGTTGGATTGACAAAAATCGGCGGTCACCGACCATCAAAGAAATATTGGATCTATTCAACAAAATATATGTATAAATAATAAGTTGAAATCTACTGTATCAACGTAATTTGTTTACTGCTTTTTTTCTCAGTGTAGTAACAAGTTTTAAGATTTATATAAACTCTCGTGATAATTCAGATAAATTTACTGATCCAAATGTTTCATTTGAATATTTTTGTTGAGTCTTACAATCTCGTTTTGTGAGACAAAACAATTGAAAAATATATATTAGTTAAAAATATATAATCGAGAGAGAGAGAGAAAGAGAATTGTAATGTAATTTCATTTGTAATTAAAATCACCGTTATATTATATTATTATTCGTTTTAGCGCGCGTTATGACACGTTATTAAGATGCTATTAGTACGTTAGCAATTACAGCAATTAGTTGCACTTTACCTCGAAGCACGTTCTTCTTTGTTCCATCTTCGATAATGAGGTATTCGCGTTGAAATTCGTTTAATTGTCCCGACGTTCTCCAATCGCGTATCTCCTTCCGTAAATTGTAAATTGGATCATCGTTGCTCGCGCTGGCGACGTCGCTCGTCTCGTCGGTGAACAAACGGCCCTTATATTTTGATGTCTTCGCATACTTCTTCACTGAGAAAAAAGAAATGGTTGATCTAACTAAAATTATACTTATTTTTGGTCTTAATCATATTTCTTAATTGTTCTAACACGAAAATAGTAACAGTGATATGTATATAACGCAATATTATCCTTAAAATGATAGTAAAATTGAATAAAAGAAATGATTCTCTCGCATCACAATTTATAGTAATTATTTCTCTGTATAATTATAGTTTGCACATACCAAGCATTTCTCTCTTAGTGTTGCTTTTCTTCCGCGAAGAGAGAAACTGCTCGCGCGGGCCTTGCGATCTCATCGAGCTGCATTTCACCGAGTTTTCGTCTCTCGAAGACTGTATCTCTCGCGACGACGTGCCTACGGACGCGGACCTTTTCCTGTCTGCTCCGAGCTTGGCGCGTTGGTCGGCGGAAACGTTCCTCGAGGGCGCGTTGACGACCGCGTTCCTTCCTCGATATCTGTTCCCCTGCACGCAGTGTCGAGTGACGTTACATTTGCCACGATAACACGAAATACAACGATGAGTTAACATGCAATTGTACATAATCAATATAGTATAATCAGCATATATAATCAATGCAATTGGCAGATAATGAAGTGTTAATCAGCATAGTTAAACGACGCGCTTCGCTTTGACACATCGAATTCAAACAGAAATAACTTGGCGCATTATAATTAGACACATGTAAAATAAATAGAGCGCAATATCGGTATAAATCGCCGCAACTTACGAACATGTAGACAATGCCGGTAGGTACAAATAGCGGGGTTATGGCACACCATTTACCACCGCGAGTAATCTCGAGTAACTACTCACTCACGTGAATTTCGAGATGGGATATCGATATGGGATCACACTTGTTATCAATCGTCGTGAAAAAGTTTACGCACTGAAACTTACGGAGTGCGTAAACTTACTTAACGTGCACATATTCCAAAGTTTGACAGACATCTGTGCGACCAGTAATATTTCCAGCGCGTTTCAAGTTCGTTCGGTACGATGGCGAGAAGCAGTCGGCAGTCAGCTGTCCTCCTGTTTCGCCACCGTAACGAAGACAAAACGTTACGGAAATAGTGGTGCGTGATGAAAGCGTTACGGGACACCACAAACGCGATAGAACGTTGCCCGACATTGAACTTTAAAAACGGATAGAGTTGTAAATACGAACAGTATATAAGTACAAAGATCTTACGACGTTGTTGAATTTTTATATAACATTATCGTGCGTCAGTTACTCTACGATGGCAAATCCGTATACAATATATAAAACTTGCAAAACATTACAAAACCATAACCCTACTATATAGATATATGTATTTAATATATTTATTTATTATATTACACTGAGAGAAAGAATATCTAAAAAATTGTAAATATATATTTTTGATGACTAACACATTTACTTAAATCTAAATTCTTTTATTTAAGTAGAATAAATAATTACTTTCATAAGCTAAGGTTGTTTAAGATTAAATAAAATATTTTCCCTTATTATTTTTTATATTTATTTTAAATATAGAATTTTCTTATTTGAAAGCTATTTTATATTAGTATAAATAGATATTAGTGGCCACTGAATAAATATTTATTATTTCTTAGATATCTTTTCTCTCAGTATATATATTTTTTTTATTAAAATGATAAATTGAGTTATAACGTAGAATTTACAATAACACATGAATATTATTGCGCTCTTATATTACGCCATAAAGATACTAAAATACTTGCGACTCTATGCGAGTAAAATAATGTGAATTTTAATATGATTTTAAGTATCCTTTTTTTAAGTATTTTTAAGTATTTTTAGTATTCTAGCATATATTTGCGACGTGATATAAAATCGGTACACATAGATTGCATACAAATTCCGAAAGACGAAAGTTATATATCTCTGCTATAAATCCGGTATAAAAATACGAGTTTCTTTACTTAAAATTATATGCGCGCAGTTCGGCGTCGTTTTCCGCCATTTTGTGCGCGAGCCGGGAGATTCCCGACGAGAAAGAGCCTTTCAACCGGACAAATCAACGATCGATATACGAAAATGATCGCAAGCTGATGATACGTTACCCATCGTGCCGAAAACAAAGGGCCGCGTGCGACGGACGTGAAACCCAGGCCCGCGTTCCGATCCTGCGGCGATACGAAACACCTGCCGTTGATGTCCCGTCCGACTCTCGACTCCGACATCGCGTCCCTTCTGGAAACATTCGATAGGCCGACATTAGTCGTTTTGTTCAACTCTCATCGCGTTTAACTTCTAACCAACAACCTCCCGGTGAAACTTACCCTTTGCTGCTGCAGACACGGTTTGGCAGTCGCGGATTCGAACAGTCTCGAAGCATATTTCTCGAGCATTTTATCTCCGCATTCCTTGTCCGCTCCGCTTTCTTCGCCGGACGAGGGCGAAATGATGTTATCTCCGCCTAGCGTATATTTCAAAAATTTGAATTTATTTGAAATTAATGTCCACCAATGACATATCGACGCAAGCCGCCCTCTCGGTAATCACTTCGCAGCCAACTGCAGAAATCGAACGTACCATCGAGTAGATTTAGGAACGCCGCGACAAATGCGAGACGAAAATTCAAACTGTTCTTATCCCGTCGCGAAATAAGATACGACGTGAACATGATTTTTTAACTGGTAGACGTAATTTATGCGATTAGAAACAATATCGGGACTCTCTTTTCCCCTAAAATCTAGAAACATACTTATTTCATTAGAGTGTAAAAAGTGACATAGTGTAGCTAAAAGGAACAGATAGATATATCATACGTACATGATGGTCACTTCGTTCCTAACCTCGACAGTACTCACGGGGTTCGATTCGGTTTGTTTACAAATGCGATAGAAATTAACAATAAAGATATTTTGCAGAAAGCATTGAATTGCGAGAATGGCGACGCAACCTCCGACTGAAATGGATGCCGACCAAGTGAAAGTCGTATGTATTTCGCATGCTTCATTTTTTTAGGTTATAAACAATTCATTCTTGCGACATATGGACATAACTATTATTTTTGTTGGGAAAAAAAGAGAGATTTGTTAGCTCTAAGATATGGAGATAATAGTTCGATATAATATCGAATATTTATGCTTACTTTGCATTTAGTCTGACATTTCTAACGATCATCAGTTTATCCTCATTATTGTTTGTATGTTTCAGTTTCGTGACTTTCTGTCGTCATATAATAAAGTCTCTGAAATTTGTTTTGTCGACTGTATACACGACTTTACTACGCGAGATGTAGGGTCTAAAGAAGAGAAATGTGCCCTTAATTGCATGGAGAAATACTTGAAAATGACTCAGAGAGTATCTCAGCGGTTCCAAGAATTTCAAATAATGGCTAACGAAAACGCCTTGGCAGCTGCCAAGAAATTAGGTCAGATACATTGAATCTACTAATGTAATATAAATATAAATAAAATGATGAGAGTTTTCTTATTGTAATATTAAGATTACAGAGAATATCATTTAAAACTTTACTATATTAATTACTCGATTCAGAACTTTTACACAATGGGTCAATTCATTCTAAGTAGTGATCATTAGTTCGTAAAAAGCAAAAAAAAAAAAGAGTACTGAATACACTGAATAAAAAATATAATTTGTAACATGCTATGTGACAAGGATTGCTATAGTTTTTAAATATATTTTGTATAAACTATAACATGTTACAAGATAGAGAAATGAATTGTGCAAGTTATAAGAATAAAATTATTGAATGTATATAATACAATATGCATGTATAGAAAATAAACAAATCTGTCCCATCTATTTGTGATATGAATATGAAAGACAAGATCAACTCTCACCATTACTCCTAATTATAATATATTATAATATTTTTAGAATCTCTAACATTTCCATATAAATATTACAATTGTCAATGTTGATTTGTATAGTATATCGTACATAATTCGAATAACTGTAAATATCTTATAATTTCAAAGCTGCTATACACAATTCTCATATTAAAATCTTCTCTGTGTATGTAGTACGTGATTACAGGTAATAATATATTTTATCGAAGTTTTTATAGGATATAAATCTATACAAATTATAATAGCTACAATGTGTGTACACAAACAGGAATGTGGTGGGATTTATGACATAATGAATGAGGCACGTGATTACGTGCTTGTGTAAAATTATCGTGTAAAAAAACTAATCAAATGCACGTAATGCTTCAAATATAAGGTGCTTAATCTTGGAAAATATATATCTCATGAAATATATAATCCTCGCTTTCTTTTCTTTCTCGCACCACTGATCCTGTCACACACTCTGTGTAAATAATTTATTACAAAAAACAATATAACAATGAATATCGATGCGTCTAACTGGACTTTGAGTGTCCAAAGTCGGAAAACTTTGGCTTTCCATGTACTTCAACATCCATGCTTTCAGTCTCCCATTCGAACGGCGAGAATGGCTGCGTGCTTTGTTGTTGTACAGGAGCAATGTTCTGTGTCTGATTTATTACCGGAGGATCGGAGCTCGCGCTGCCAACTTCGGGTTCCTGAGTCTCCATCGTGGAGTCTGGATTTGGCGAATTTGGCGGTGTTTTGCGTAGTCTCTTGTAGTCCGAAAATCTGTTTAACGATACTTGATCCACGCATACAGCTTGCGTAGTGTGTCGAGTTTTATACAAAATCGGGCAACCTAGGTCGCCCTTTAAGCTCAGACTGTACAGATTGGCGAGTCGACGCAACTTCTCGCGTTCTGGTTGTCGCATAGGATGCAGTTTCAGCTCGCTCTGAGTGGGATCCTGTAGGAATCGTGACACCTTCTCGTTGGCAGAAGTTATGATGGAGTAACCAGGTTTGTTATCGACGTGACGTCGCCCAGCGCGGATCTCTCTGCCGCTAGAGCAGAGTTCACGAATGCGCTGTATTCTCTGTCTATAATTCCTCCTGGCCTCGGCTACCGAGTGCTCGTATCCGCCGTGCAATATTACTTGGAAAGTTGAATCTGACGTGATCTTGTCATCGCTCGTGCTCTCCCCGTCCTCCCGCCAACTTGATTCTCCAATCCAATCCGACTGTTCGTCATCCCCTGTGCAAATGAGTTATTAACGATAATAACACGAATATCTTTTTTAACGTGTGTACACCATTATACTAAATGATATTATCCGATATTATCAGGATGTCCTACACGAACTGTCAAACATTGAAATGGCGAATAAAAGTACAAAAGATTTTTAGTCTTGAATTGACTTCTACTATCTGTCATTTCAACATCCTCCAGTTCACCATACCTTCTCTATCCTCATCGTTAGTGATGAGACCTGCTTCTGAGTCGCTGGACGAGATACTCGAGCTAGATATACGCGAACAATCAACGGTGTCTTCGTCCTGCATTTTACCCCGATTTTTTGATTTGGTATTTCTTGTCGGTTTAGATACTCTCATCTCGCAATCTATTGAGCGCTCTCTACATGACCTTTTCCGCTTCCCGCACCTGGAAGAACGGAAAGTCTATTTATTGCTTGTCGGCAAATAAACAAAGAGTGAGTGTGCGTAATTTTTTTCTCTCTTACCATATGGCGCTATATCTGTTTTTGCCATCACTTCGAAAGATACGTTTTTTTCCGCCGAACGTGGTCGTCATGATCGTGACCGCCTGGGAGGTAGACGCATTCGAGTCAGAGTCAACCGACATTCTTTTGAATTTCCTTTTACGTCTCGTGTTTGCCCTCGGCACGAAATTCTCATTTACCGAGTCGCTCTCGATGTTACTGGCGTTATTCAAATTTGAGAAGCGCGCAAAACGCTTCGTCTGGTTCGTATCGTCGCTGTCGGACTGATATTTCGAAACATTGGCAGTTTTTGGAACACGAATGTCGCAGATGGAAGATGAGCTGTCGTCCGAATGTTTGTTCATGCTCAAGGCCGCTGAAAAGAAGTATGCAAAAATTTTCAGCATGTCATTTCTCACTTCTAGCGTCACAATCCAACATGGCCGCGATGAATACTCAGGAGCTCTAATTGACTGTAGTTATGTAAGAATGATCCAACTTACATGAAATAAGTGTTGAGAAAAATGAAAATTTGATATGACTTAAAAAGTATAGCATTGGGGTTCTTCACAGTCACTCAAGGAGTCAAGTATAATTAATTTTCTTCTCTTTAAAGATATTCATTGACAAGCTTAACTCTTAAAAATAAATAAGACACAATTAGTGGATAATAAAAACTATTTTTAATTAATTTTAGGTGCTCATAAGGCTTGTATCTTTTTTATGTAGAAAAATGTATAGACTATCCATTGGTAACAAAAAGCCAAAAATCAATTTTTTAGATTGGATTATTCTTGTATAATTATTACATTCTAATAATGTATTATACATTATCGGCTACTTTTCAAAAATCACATTTGTGTGTTCAGATTATTATACAATTTTATGCTGTGAACATTGTTTTTTACAAAGATGATTTTAACATTAATCTACACCATGCCTCACACAAGTAAAACTCTAACTTCTAATGTTGCATATAGGTGATTAGAATCCATAAAAATATTATTTTCATTCTAATATCCAACTTAATACTTTGTTCACAGGAGATATCGTTCTTTTGTAATGTTTTGTTAGCTTTTACTCCATTGCACTTACGAATATTTCCTGTGGACCGTGCTCTTCTTCTGATGCCCCATCTGCGTCTGAGATTTGCACTGTTGCTGCTTTCCTCAAGTGCCAAAGTCAAATCGTGCACGAGGGCCTCCATTTTTACTCTTAAATCCGCCGGTACAGCCTTCAAAACACGCTCCATTTGAAGGATGCGTTTTTTGCTGGAAAATCATTTCAAATGACAGAGTCTCATTTAATCAATCACCTGTTGATCTTATTATATGTGTCATTAATATGCTACTAATCTGTACGGACGAACGAGCACCTTATGATTAATTTATTTCATGTTTATTTATCTGTTAACTAAATATAGCACACCGAAGTCATTCTTGTTGGACCAGTTTCTCAAAAATTTCAAAACAGTGTGTATGACTAGGTAAAATATAAAAAAATTGACTCCGAAACCTCGCAATCCTTTTCCAAGGGCGTCGGATCAGCCGAAAGAACTCATAGCAGATTTCGTCATTGCGCGAGAGAGACCATAAAAATCGACCAGACACTAAGGAGTTGTGTGTCGCAACGCGACGCCCACATGTAAATAAGCACAGCGAATCAATCGTCGAATTCTCTCAATTGCACTTTCAACTGGTACTTCGCTACGTCCTACGCTTGACACACGACCCGTACATACTTTACGTAGCTACCAATATAGGCGCGAGAGACACGAACATTCGTTCTTGATCGCGTTCCCGTTCGCGTTTTTATACGTCGGAACGTTCCCTTTCGCGACAGCGACTCTTGTCAACCGAACGTTGCGAGTACTAATCCGCAATCCATCATTGGGGATAACGCGCGCCGATAAGCGATCGCCAAACACGTTCGAACGATAAGAAGGCGCATATGGTGCGGCCGAAAAGACGTTGATGGCACGTCGATCGTCGAGGAGGGGGTCAAAACAAATCGCGAATGCGTCAACTTGAACGACACAACGTAACATCCTGCCGCGCTTACCTCGTACGAGTTATGTCCATGAGCCTCGCCTCAAAAGCGTTTCATTGTCGAACCCGTTGTAATCCGTCCACCTGCCGACTGACAACGGTATATGACAGGAAACTATCGAATCTGTTGTCCGTGAGATCGACTGCTAAGTTTGAAACCTTTCACCGTAAAGTAGTCGTCTATATACGCCACCGCCTATAGTATCGCAGGTCAGTTGTAACGCGGACGCTACGCATATGGAGAATCCACTTTGCACCTTCACCCGACCCCTCTGACGTTACGACGTTTCGATATTCAATGAGAGAATGTTTCGGGGAAGAGAAATGTCGCTAGTCGGAATCCCTAGCAAGCGAGTTCCTCTGAAATGCATCGCCTCTAGGCTGCGTTCAAATTCCCTACCCGGGTGCACTCTAGGCTGCGTTCAGATTCCCCACCCGGGTGTATTCTATTACTAGAAATGCTATAGTATATGTAACATATACTGTAATGTTTCTAGTATATATATATATTTATTACCATTCAGCTATATACATTAAATAGCCAAGAAGGGGAGTAATGTTTCTAGTAATAGAGTGCACCTGGATGAGGAATCTGAACGCACCCCTAATGGTGCGGTCCCATGCGGGACATGCGGAATGCGGAATTGGCGGAACGCTCGTGATTGGTTGAATTTACTTTACGTATACTCAGGCTGCGTTCCGAAATTCACTGCCAATGCTGAAATTCTATAGTATACGTGACATGAACTATAGAATTTCAGTACTGGCAGTGAATTTCGGAACGCAACCTCAGTTGCGTTGATGCTATACCATTCCCCAAATCGATAGTCACTAAAAAGTTTTGACCAGCCGTATTCGTTTCTAGCTGATCGTTTCTCATAACTGTTGATTCATCCGGTAAGCGGGAATGTGTCAAGATAGAAGTGATATTTTGACAGCTTGACGTTTCATACATACGTGTTTTTATCAGAAGGTTATCCGCTCACGTGTAATGCGTAATCAGTAGAAGAAGAATAAGAATGTTAAAAAACGTAAGTAAGAAGTTAATATACAAAATTATAATAAATTATACACATACAAAATTATAATAAATTTATACACATACAATACAAAGGGTCTCTGCTTTTAATATTTTCACGCGATTTGCTCTCAAATTATTCGTTATTAATAAACATTCTACTTTATTCGAATAAAGTAAAAACTTCTTACTTATCTTTTTTAACATTCTTTCTTACCGCCGATTTCTATCCGCAAGTTTTAATTTTATTCCGCAACAACTGTACGAATTACGGAGTGAGTGTGTGTGAAAGAGCGAAGGAAAAATAATGCCGAATATGCAACAGAGATCTGTAAGAATATTATTAAAAACTATTTTAATTTTAAATAAATATAATTTTATATGAAGAATTTAATATTAATAAAAAATTATATTGAACAATTTTGTAAAATACGAGTTTCTATTAGGAATTTGATGTTATGATTGTTTATTATTGTGTAAGACAAAAAATGTGGTTTTTGCGAGTATATCCTCCCTAAGAACTTTGATTTACTACATCATTCGTGCTTTCAACCATTTATTGAGGATATTCATTAATTAAATATAGATGGAAATTTAATAGTTACTGTTGGTAAGTGAAATTTTAGTAATTGAAGCATGTTTTTTGACAAGAAAGACCTGTCATTGATTATTCACTGATCAATTATATTGTCTTAGGTTGCATTCCAAAACATTGTTTTTGAAGAAAATTTTATTTAATATAGTTTACGTTACATATACTATAGAGTATCGAGTAAAATTTCCTCAAAAAGGATGTTTTAGAACGCAATCTTAATAGTTACTGAGTAAACTAAGTTTCATTTACCAATGTTATTATTGTCTTATGTTACACTATCTCGCCCAGAAGAGTTCGGTGAATTAAAATACTCCAGTAGATAATGACAATTCTGACGCAGTTGACATTGATGAGTTATTAATAAATCTTATATCTTAGAAGCGAGTATTATTCGACCATCGAATACCAGTAAGTGACAGAAGCAGTTTAAACAAGAATGCATTGTGGCAAGAACTGTTTGGGAGGTTACAAAATGTTTTATATTTTCTTTATTTTTAGCAATACTATATAATAAATATAACTTTGTAATTTTGCGGCGTAGCTCCTGCTTTTTAAATACACACCAACATTGCTTTAATGAATTTAATAATTGAGTTATAATAAGAAATAATTTGTCAGATTTCATATTAAATACAACAAATCTTAAAGATATAGATCAGCTCTCTTGCTTTGTTGAGATTTTCGCTTCGATTGAGGTTATGTTTGGATTTCTATTCCGCGAATATTTTTCTACTGTCCTATGCTGTGCGGGAAACGCGGAAGCGTAATCTGTGCGTGCCAATAATATACATTATTCCGATAGATACTATAGAAGGATATATGGGAAAAATCTTGTGATTGGCTAAGCGCCAATTGCGCTTCCGCAAGTTCCGCTCTATGGGACATAGGAAAATACATTTTAGCAGAATGCAATTGACGGAATGTCCGTGATTGGACAGAGTTCTTTCCGCCAATTCCGCATTCTGCATGTTCCGCAATCATGGGACCGCATCATAAGAGTGAAAACTAGGGATGCCCGATTCTTAATCGATTCGATTCTTTCCCTAACAAATTTAGGGAAAAAAGGTTGTTCGTGCTGCTTGTATGTTTCATACTTTTCGCTTTTAAAAAGAGATGGACACCTAATCAGACGCTTAGAAGAAACAATCGAGTTGATTGTCTCGTTTTTGCTTCTTCGAAACATTCCAATATACTTCTGTCTAGTTTTAAATACGAAAAATGCGAAGAGTGCAAACAACACGAATAAGCCTATTTTTGGGGAAAGAATCGAATCGATTCAGAATCGGGCATCTCTAGTGCAAACTAGGATCGGGTGAAGGTGCAAAGTGGATCTCCATATGCGTAGCGTCCGCGTTACAACTGACCTGCGAAAAAGGTGCAGCGAAAAAGAACAGGCCATCAACGAGTAGAATCCACTTGACACTGCTTATGCTTCGAAGCGCCGTTTAGACCAATTATATAGTCGTTCTTTACGCATTTCAAAGTTTTATAGCTTCAAGTGGATCCTAATAAATGTTCATGCGTCTGCTTTATTCTCGTTTACTGAAAGTGCAACCAACTTCAAACGATTCATTCAATCTCGGCTTTTATCGTAATTCGATATTATCGGTACTAATCGTAAAAATCACGAGTTATTATTGTTTCCCTCTACATTACTGAAGAAAGATCAATGGAGAAACCACTGAAGAAAAATAAGAAGCCACTTGTGCTGGCTATAAAAAATCGAGGTTCTGTTTTGGATTGACTGTTTTTTGCCGGTCACTATGTTAAAAATGAAAAGTCGAGAGTCGATTATCTTGATCGAGCTGGTTACTCGAAGAGGGCATTCGTGTGTTCGTTTCGGACACCACAAAACTCTCGCTACTCTCGGTCGCGAAAAAGATACTACTGTAGGCCGGTTGTTTAGTGAGATTCGGGCGATTATCAGCTGACGACGCGTTGGTGCGTCTACTTCTACTCTCGTCGCACGACATACGAAGCGCGTCGCAATTGCGGCGTGTTTATTCGCGTGCTCTTTATTCTGTCTGTCGTGTGTGCGTGCGCGCGCGCGCGCGACACCCGTCGCCGTCGTGATCGGGACGAACGCGGTGGATCAGCGTTCTTCCGGATATCTCTGATAAGGAGTGCGCGCGCGACGTCGTCCTGTCAGTGCCATATGTGCTTCGCCGACAACTCTGGTCGATATGTGGGTGAAGCCACAAGAAGTGCTGCTCGCCAACGCTTTTTGGTAAGACGCGTTTTCTCACGCACGTTTCCGCGAGGCCGATCGTTCACTACGTCCATTGCGTCGCACCAAATCTTTTCCCGCTGATCAAAACGATCCAGTCGTCGCGATTTCGTATCGTCGAAACGACCGAGATAGTCGGTAGACGCAGGGACGAACGAGGTGTCGGCGAATGTTTACATTGTGTCAAAGACAGCTGACGGGAAGTCACCTCCTTCCCAGCGCGAAACGCTACACACATCACGGAAATTATCGTTTTGTTTCCTCTTTTTTTTTATCGCGACACCGATTCGGCAACGTGCTAATTGTTCGTTATTTACTGTGTGAGTATAAATATCGCGTTTGCCTTGATAAGGGGTAGAATGTCGGTCACATCGTCGGCGCGCGATGTCGTAACACGGCGAAATTCTGTTTTTATAGTCGTACGCATTAGATAACGGCCGTGAAACGCAGTTATAAAGGCGTTATAAATTGCACGTAGTCCAGCCGAGTATCTGTCGGGTGTCGATAAGCGGTGATGTCGAAATAGACGTGACGAATCCTACGTTAAAAAGTCCCCTCTGTTCGACGCGCTTTTAAATATAAATTCTTAACAACACAATTAATACTTTTTTTGCAATTATTAAGATACTTATTACAGATATATTTCTTTGTTTTAATTGTATTTCAAGGAGAAAATAGCACAACATTTTGCGTTTATTTTTGTAGGGGAGTTGCATAATTAGATGTGCAATCACTAATGATATACATGATATTTGTTTTGTGATACAGGATTACTGAGCAGGCGACTGTATATTTTGTTTTACAACGTCGCAAAGGGCATGGGAAAACTAAAGGTCTCACCTCCATATTGGTGGGTACTTTGGACAGTGTCTTTGACACTAAACCACCACCATTCAGGATCCTTCATCAGACACCATCATCGGAAGTATATTGGGGTAATATAATAAGTTTTAAACTGAAAAATATATTCTGTGATAAAGTATAGAAACATTCTTTTCCTTGTATAACTTTTCTATATTTATATAATTTTATTTATATCACTATACTATAAATATAACTCTTGTTAGATATCATCTCTCTGTATATGTATACACATTGAAAGAATGTAAAATCAAGGAAAACATATATATGTGCATTAGTAGCAGTGATAATGGCACAGTAACTGATAATAGCATAAGTTGGCGTAAACAAATACCAATTGTGTGTAGTAAATGCTGGGGGAGCATGAGAAATTCAATGCTTTCACTTATATCCTAATATTTATGCAGAGCAGATATAAAAAAATTATAAGGCGCTTAATTAATTTTTTTTCTACATTATATTACTTTGCATTTAATTGAGCCAATATCTGCGATTAGTCTCTTGTTGTTCACTGATTGATTACTTTCAACTGTTCAAGTTTCTAATGCATTTATTTTCTCTCATTGAATGTTTGCAGAAGTGGCGTGTTCCTTGACTCGCGAGGAGATTCTTCAAGATTGGGAATGGCTTCACTCAAATTTAATGACTACCCTTACATCGTTCGATACCGAGGAGGAGATAACAGAATTTGTCTGTTGCAAAATCCAATCTATAATAGCGAATAGTATCCCGGACTCTCAGTTTGCAGATGGTAGAATCATTAATCAATATTTAAATCACAGGCAGTAACTAGTCAGCACATAAATTGAGTGTTAATATTGTTTACAGAAGAAGACCCAGAGTCTTTCAAAACTGTGTCTTTTAAATTTCACCAGTTGTTCAATGTACCAAAAGAGGACAAATTGGTCAATTATTATTCGTGCAGGTCTTTAAATTTTAAATATATATGCAACTTATATGAAGCTACGTTGCATCGAACATATATCTGTAAATCGTGCTTTTTCTCTTAGTTACTGGAAATCTCGATTACCTAGACAAGGATGGCTCTATTTATCTGTAAACCACATGTGCTTTTATGCATATATACTGGCAAGAGAAACAAAGTTGATCGTAAGATGGACTGATATCATTGAATTGACCAAAACTAATTCTCTCATAGTCCCGGACAGTATACGTGTTGTAACACGTGACAATAAAGAGGTATGCATCGATTATTTCACTCTTATCGTCCTCGATATGTGTCGTGATATTCACGTTGCATTCGATTCATTTTCAACATTCTCTCCTCTTCTGTTACAGCATTATTTTTCTATGTTTTTACATAAATCAGAAACATATTCATTAATGGAGCAACTGACCAATATTGCTATGAAAAGGTAATTTTATGTTGCATTTGAAATATATATATATAATTTTTTTAGTTAAGTCGTATTTTTGCATTTCATATTTTATTAACATCGAAATATATATTTTTTAAAGGCTTATTGATGAAAAAAGTGGATTTAACGAGGATAGAGACTTACTGAATAAATTAAGGTATATTGGCATAATTTGCGTTATTGAATCGCATGTTAAGTAAACTCGTAGGAGTAACATATTGATTTCTAATTTAGCAAAAATGTGCCTAAGAAGCCATCCTTCTTAAAGAGGGATCTCGATGCGAGAGCGCACTCGGAAGCATATAGACTCCAGTTTAGGTTACCGGGAGCTGAAAAGTTAGACGGCAGTGTTGATTCAACTTTATGGACTCCATACAACAAGAGATATGTATGGGGAAAGATATACTTGTCCCAGAACTATCTCTGTTTCGAAAGTAGAGTAAGTACTTGATTTTGTAGCAAACAAGAGAATTAAACGTAGTACGATCATAAAATCGATATTGAGATAAATAAATGTGATTAACGTTCTTTTTAGTTTTAAAATTTACATCTAGAAGTCTGAGAAGTTTTTTCAGTTTGAGAATTTCCAGAAGTTGTAAATGTTTAAATATCTAAGCATTTCCTGATGAATACAAATTTCTTTCTTTAATTACTAAAATATTGGTTAATCATTATAATTAATGTTTTTTGTGTTACTTTTGAACGTTTCTATAAAAATCCAAAGATTCTTTTATCATTCTTTTGTTTATAATTCTTTTGTAATTAAAAATAGAAATTAATGACAGTTTGTCGTCCAAAGCACAGAGAGATACTCGTTATTTTGTCTAGGTAAGAAGAGTAGTCAGTCTTGTTATACCTCTGAGGGAAGTGACGCTCGTCGAGTCAGCGGAGAATCAATCCAATACAGGAGCGGATAAGTCGATACTAGTCACAACGGCACGTTCATCGTTTCTGTTCGCTCAAATACATGACCGGGATTTCGTGGTGCAAAAAATCTCCGAGCTCTTAGCAAAATCTAAGCTTAATTATGTGTAAGTTTGTATATATTACAGTTATATTTTCCTATACTTGTATAAATATTTTTCTGTACTATATATAGACACGCATAAAATTATTCTTGATTTGATATTTGATATTTGAGACTTTCGCGGTGTCCATGAATATTAGATTTAGTTTCTGGGTTTGAGCCGCGTAGATTCTTCTTTGTTTGATTCCGACGTTTCGCGAACATTTCAGTCCGCTTCATCAGGGAGGAACGACTCTAGCATAGGGACTGTAAAGGAAATGTAAAGAAGAATCCACACGGTTCAAACCCAGAAACCAAATCTAAAATTATTCTTGTATATAATGTTACACAGATCTCGAGACAACGTATGTTCGCCGAATTCTTCAAACAGCAGCATTAGCAACTGTGAGGAAGCGAAACCTGCGGAACATTGGAAACCTCAGCCGCCGCTGATGATGCTATTCAAAACTCCGCTCACCAGTGAAGCCGCATTAAAACAGGAAGCTAAGGAGAAGCAATGGGAACTTCATTTTGCAGAATATGGGAGAGGTATTACGATGTACAGAACAACAGAAACGGCGAAACTCATTATCCAGGGAATTCCGCAGTCTCTTAGAGGAGAAGCCTGGCTCACCTTTTCGGGTATAACGCACAATCGATTTAATATACGAAATATATATCATGCATCGTACGCACAAGTCTAATGTATACACGTGTCATTTGTTGCAGGTGCTTTAAATGAAAAGGCAATGAATCCAGATCTGTACAAATCATTGGTCGAACAGTCCCTTGGTAAATCATGTCAAGCGAACGAAGAGATCGAGAGAGATCTGCACAGGTCGTTACCGGAACATCCGGCTTTCCAGTCTGACACAGGAATCAACGCGTTGAGAAGGGTGCTATCCGCTTATGCGTGGCGAAATCCTCAGATCGGTAAGTTCTTGATATTTTTTCATCTCTAATTAGCATTCTTAATTCTTAAATAACTAAAGTCTTTAATTGATTATAATAAAAAAAGATTATATTTAATTTTACTAAATAATGTGATGAGAGGAAAATATATGAGAATAAATAACAATTACATTATAAAATTTCAAAAGTTTCTTAATATTTAGGATTATTGATTTAATAATTTTCATTTAGTATCATTAGGTTAATAATTTAGGAATCCTTATATATATTTTCTACAGGTTATTGTCAGGCAATGAACATTGTAGCTTCGGTTCTACTGATCTATTGCTCCGAGGAATCGGCTTTCTGGCAGTTATGCAACGTTTGCGAGTCATTACTGCCGGATTACTATGATCGGAGAGTAGTCGGTGCTCTTGTTGACCAAGGTCTTTTGGAGGAACTGGCCGCTGAGCATTTGCCGATTTTGCACGCTAAATTGCAGGAACTAGGTTTAATTAAAGTTATCTCGCTGTCTTGGTTTCTAACTATATTCTTAAGTGTTATGCCGACCAGTAGCGCTGTAAACATCATGGACTGTTTCTTCTACGATGGAGCGAAAGTTATCTTTCAGGTAAGAAACTGAACATTAATGAATGATAATAAAATGAAAATTACTCCTTACAAAAATAGCTGTCTCTCTCTCTCTCTTTTTCTTTAGTTATAAACTTAGCTGGAATTTATGTTTTATTGTGTAGAAAATTACCTTTATAGATATATTTGTTTTGAACAAAAATTTGTATAAATATATTTTATTTGCTTGAAGTTAATCTGAAAATTTTGAGATTTAATTTAATAGAACAATCTCGCTGTTTTATCTGGGAAACTTATGTAGAATAAAATGCGTACGGAATATATCTGATATAAATGAATTTTCCTTGTTGTATTAGATAGCATTGACAGTGTTGGAATGGAATCAGGACAAGTTACTTAATTGTCATGACGATGGGGAAGCTATGCAATTGTTGACTGACTATCTTGGTGGCGTTTACAACGACGAAGGGCCAATATTTCCCCGACCAGTCGACAGCACATCACCTAATAAAGTAAGAAAATGAATCTTAATCATGTATAATCTCTCTCGCTGTATGCATAAAATACAATGCAATACCTAATAATCGAAATATTTTTTTTTTTATTGCAGAGTATATCTGTCCAGACATTAATTTATGAAGCATATTCTAGATATGGATCGTTGACGATTGGTTGGATAGAGAGATTGCGATTGAAGCATAGGCTCAGGGTAGTTCAAAGTCTAGAAGATGGAATTGAAAAGAATGTAATTAGAAGCATTATTGTTGATAAATATATGACGATGGAGGAATTGCAGGTAATATAGAGTAACTTGTATGAACAAAGTATAAAATGTAAAGGATTTAATTATTCTATATAAATATGTACAGGAGCTGTTAAGTTTAGTAAGAGAGGAATTAATGAGTCAACGAAAATCCGAGCCCGACCGTTATGATCCAACACAGCCACCGTACGAGGCGTACAAAGTAGACTTTGACTTATTCAGAATATTGTTCGGTGGGCTATCTCCATGGGGAAAATGTACTCAGGCCGAGTCTCTTTCCGCACGGCTGTTCCGTGTAAGTTCCATCGTTAAATTGTTTTTGTTTTTGTTAATGCTAGCATATATTGATATAGTTTAGAAAAAAACCGTATATTAGATTTTATAAAATTGAATTCTAAGTAATACAAGATAAAAGTCACTTATTTAAAACTATGTTTTCAGCTAATGGATCGTAATCGTGATGGTTTGCTAAACTTTCGGGAATTAGTGCAGGCTATAGGAATGACAGCGACGGCCGATTTGACACAGAGATTGAAGCTTTTGTACACATTACATTTACCGCCACTTCTCACGCCTGCTGACTTTGAGTCGCCGACGCATTCTGGTAAATGTTCATCGATATTTATACCAAAATGATATAGATATTTCAGAAGAAAAAGGTCCAATGTCTATTCCTTCAATTTTTAGTTATAGAGATGTTAGAATTTGTTAACTTGTTATGTAATTATCAATGAACTATCATTAAAAAATACATATCAGTTATTATACAATCTAAAAAGGACTGTAAGAACGATTACTCTTTTCACAGAAGCACTGTAACAGGAATTAATTATCGTAAGAATTTTTGATTATCCAACAAATGCGATATGGTAAGTTATCAAATGGAAAGTAGACATTGACACTTTTTCTTCGAAAATATCAGATATATCTGTCAGCATGGTATCTCGTAGTTAATATATAGTATATATTATCTTGTATTATATATTTCTTTACACATGTTATATCTATATAACGTTAATTGTAAGTTTGTAAAATTCAGCAGATGGTGCCGAGGTAGCAGCAGAAGCTACAGATTTCTTTGACAGCATGGAACAGAGTGTAGCTTCTTTAGAGATGCCAGTCAGCGTGGCAGAGGAGCCAACAGTAGGCACTTTATCACGATCCACGAGCTTGAATAGCCAGCAGGGGGATCAGTCGTGGGAAATTCAGAGTATGGGTAGCTTACGCTCGATGATTGCATCCAAGGATAGTCCGCTAGATCTTAAAACTGTGCCAAAAATGTCTCAAGGACATTTCATAGCGTTGTGGAAAACTCTTTACGACATGTTTCCCGCACAACCTGAGGAACAAGAAACGTATCATTGTATTGCTTCCATAGGTGAGATACTTATCTTTTCGTTCATCCAAGGATTCTGTTTTAAGGTTTTATTATTAAATTAATAGGATAAGAAAATATTCCAAGAAACGCGTCTTGGATATATAATAATACACATTACTATATATATTAATATTATACTAATTACATAGGGTGTCTAACGTAAATTAAAAAACGCTTGTATGTATATAAATTAGGTAAAATTGAACAAAAATGCCCTCTACCATTTTTTAAACAATCATATAGATATATAAAAAATTACATGGTTTGCAAAACAACTTTTAGAAAACATTTCATTCAGTTTGATCAATCTACATGCATACGAACGTTGTTTGTCTTCTGACACTCTGTACAAATGAAACATCCATAGGTACCCTTCTGCTCCAATTAGGAGATGTTGGGAAGAAGTTCTATGTAGAGAGAGACGAATCTGAAGATAGTTTACTTCTGGCTGCTTCCGCTGCTCAGCAAGCTTCTACCTCCGTTATCGAAAGGGTAATATAATTTTTTTTATATTGTCGACGTCCACACTCACAACTTTGTTGTTACTATAAACTTATATCAACTTAATGTCTTCCAGTCACCGGATCGTAATGGAAATCCGTCGAGCATAGCGTCGTCCGCCGATCCCGATTGGGCAATAACCGTTGAGCAGTTCTTGGCATCCGCTTTAACCGGACAAGCGATAGTGGATTTCTTCAGCAAACGGGCCAACCTAGTGGAATCTATGGCGGCATTGAAGAACCGTAGATTTAATCGGGTACATTCGTTATCGGATACTCCAACTCTGAACGGATGACACACGGTGATCAATATATAAGAGAATGCTGCATAATAACGGCTTTTTAAAGTTTGAAAGGCTTCGATAAATGGAAGAGGCAGAGTGAAGATTCGAAAAACACCGAGGTTTGTATATTAATTTGAATTTGGCGAATTTTAATTCGAAGGGAAATGCATTTGTACATGAATGGCGATATATGTGCAATAGAACTATAATTATAAATGTTATCGGAAAACTCGTAGTAAATTGACTTATTACGATACCGAAGAGCCGTGTAATATTTGCGTAAAGATTTTCTGATTTCTTGTTACGTTTAGTGATTATGTTCTTTGCCGTTTAAGTTAGTTATTATATTTTGTTTTTAATGTAGTTTACCATCTTTTACGTAATAAACATATTCAATTGTATTACGATCCATTATACAGCGAAGAACATAATTGCGAGCACATTTAAGATAAGATTCATCTAATGTATCGACAACGGTAGTTATACATTATTAATTTACGAAGATTTTTTGATGACAGAGACATATGTTTAATATGTTGGCCTATCTTATTAGTTGTATGTCTGGTGAATATATGAAAACCGTTAAAACACGAATAATGCGTCAATAGTGAATACTCAGGGTAAAGATTATAAAACAGTTCCATTATATTAAGATTATCTAAGTTAATTATGTAAGCAAAGTAAAAAAATTTCCAAGTAACTAATATTGACGCAACACATCAATTCTAAAGAAGAAAAGGACATTTGTAACTTGAAAAGAAAAAGACTAATGTATGTTTATTTTATTAAGTTGTAGAAATCTATAATTACAGAAGCCGTCGAATTTCTTAATATTTTGAGATCTAATATTCAATTCAATCATAAATTTTATTTTTTAACCACAGAAATATTAGTCAATGTAGTTGATATGATGTGTTATTGTAAAACGTTTACAAATTCAAAAAAACTTGTAACTAAAAATTTAGAAAATACACATTGGTCTTTTTCCTTTCGGAATACAAACATATAGTAAAATTTGCCAGACATCAATGGTTTACCAGAGATATGAGGAATATAACATATGCGATAATAAATATTGAATATAGTTGCTTGTTTTAACATTATACTATTTTAATTTCACTTCATGTCTCAAAAACATGAACAGCAAAACATAGAAGATTATACATTGTTCAAGATGTCGTATACTTTCCTTCAACTGTGGATGTATTATAATCTACAGAAAAAAGCGCAACTTGTCAGACATTCGATATATTCCTCAAGTATTATTTGCATAGCCATCATAAGATATAAATGATACATCATGAGTAAGGAATTAAAGATCAAAAATCTGCACCATCAAGTGGACATCTTTCTGTATAGATATGTACAACAGATTATTGTAGCATAATGCGTTTTTTTTTTTAGATAAAGTATTTTTCTTTTTACAGAATTTGTTCCATTTGTAATATATATATATATATACTCAGTAAACACATACTCAGTATACTCAGTAAGTATCATCCATATTACAATGTCAGCTCAATCACATGGTATATTATATAACTGTTACTTTGTTATATAACAAAATATACCATATGATTAAGCTGACATTGTAATATGAATGATACTTTGTGTTTAGTGGGTATATACATATATGTATGTCAAGAGAAAATCATACATCTTATAAACTATTCTATCTATAAATATATATACGTATAAATGTTATACAAATTGATTCGCGTGCTCAATCGAGAGCTATTATAACGCAATTTTGATAAGCAGTATTATTTGACAACTGATCGTTAACTTCCGGTAACATAGATTTCTGTAATTACAGCTCTGGTTTGGTTAAAAAATGTTCCAAAATATTTTAATTAAATGATTCTCCACACAATTGTGACCAGAGGAATAGAGAAAGAATGTGTATATATAAAATAAAATTTATCTTGTAAAAAAGAAGAAAAATTAAATAACAATTTCTCTAAATCTGAAATTCTCGATAGAGAATTTCAAGACATTTTTACGGTCCATTCAGCTTCCAAGTTATGCGCATGCAAGATGATAATACAAATTCAATTAATATGAAAAGCTTTAGACGGTAAAATCCTAAGGCCCATATTCTAAATCCTCTTTTATCGATAAAAGTGCCTTAAATGTAGCTTCTCAGCCAATCAGGTGGCTCATAAGCCTCTTTTAGAGGCTCATTTATCGTTAAAAAAGAACTCAAAATACGGGCCTAAGTCGGTATTATTATCGACGTTGCCTAAATATATCGAGCCACATTCTTTTCTCAAAATATTATTCTAATATTCATGATCAGCAAAAGGAAAGAGAGTGACACTGGGTAACTTTGTCCTCTTCTAGATACGAACAGATTTTAATATAAGATACAGAAAATCCAATCAATTGCAGTTTAATTGAAAGCAGCCAATTTCAATTGTATGTGGCACAACCTAATTATACACATATACATACACACACTTTAGTGATAATTTTTATTTTTATATAACCGAATACTCACGAGCATAATTTTATGAGCGTGATTAACGAGCGGTACTACGACATCAAAGACATCTGACATGTCTTTCTATATTAATGTATTATATGTGTATATAACGATATTTCATACTTGTAATTTTGTGTGTATGTATAAGATATATAATAAAAATATGTCATACAATATATCTGATAGAATTCTCTTGTAATTTAGAATTATTGTAAGGGTTTCAAAATGAATATGGAAACAGATATAAATTTTCTTTTTTATTGAAAATATGAACTGGTTAAATTAAAAGTTTTTGGGTAAAATGCCATCCTTCTTTGTTAGTCGCACTAAACAATCATCAGATTCACCCTGTAACATAAATTTAATATATTTTATTGTATAAAAATTCAGAATTATTTTTAGGTAAACATTTTGTAATCTTATAATGTAAAAACTTGATGTTTAATGAATGAAAAAGCTTTACAAACTATTTATATGTAGATAGAAATTAATTGAAAATATACCATGCGACGGATAGCTCCACAAATGGCATACATCTTGTGAGAGTCAGTCATACGTCCAGTTTCTGGGTCAACATCTGCTAAAGTTAGTTGTATGGATGCATGATCCTTAGCATGTATGATGCGATTGCTCGCAGAGCTGTAACAAGTATATGTTAAATTGGTTAATTTTAGTTATATTTTTTATATTTACTGTAGACTTAATTATACTTTCTATACTATTTTCTTTTAATTATATCTAACAAAACTATATATATATTTTTTTTTTACATATATAGAATTATATTACATATTTTAAATGTAAGAAATATGCAGTTAAGGTGATCTGTTTTGTCAGTTGAATTCTTCACGTTCCTTTGTATTATTTTTCACTAAATATCTATATATTTTAAATGCAGAGTTAAAGTCGTATATTTCACAAGAGAACAGATTTTCTTTGAAGACAACACCATGCATACAAAATTAACTTAATTCAATCTAACCTAACATTATTCTCACAAGTATTACGGGTCTATCGCTCGCATAAAAACTAATTAAGAACATTTCCTGCCGAGAAATAATATGTATTAAATTACAATAACGCTCTTAGTACGATTGATATATTTTATTTCGATGCTCAGTATAATATTTAGAATTACTTGCAATCCACGTGTACATCTTACCATTTTCGCGGAATATACAAGTCGACTATAGTTCCAGTGTCGTTCTCCATTTTTCTGCAATTACAATACTAATAAAAATATGAACGATTAGTATATATTCCGAGTGAGAAAACTACAATATTGTAATAATTATTCGGTAAATATTTCTCGTTCAACACAGTCAATACGCACCTCTTACAACAGTCACGATGAGAAAAGGGTCCCTCTAGTTTCGAGATGAACAATGTAAACGATGGATACATCCCTAGAGGTGTATTCGAGAAAACGTCATCTGAATACTTTCCTTCTCTCTTTATCTTATTCTCGTATTTTTTTCATTCCAACACAGTGAATGCACGTTTGAAGCAGAGATAAAAGATTGTTACTGTTGTTATATTACTGAAAAATAAATAAGTTTTTACTTCTAATTTGTTGTTGAAAAAAAGATTTCATAAGAAAGTACAGAAAGTGTAAATAAAAAGAACAAACCTATGTAAAGTCAGCGGCACACGATGCTTTTTTCGTGTTGGTTGTGTACTTGCTGAATAGAAATACTCTAATTTGATTGATGCATTTCCATCTATCTTCAGAAATATACCAATCAGAGTATTTCCGTCCAGCAGCAATCCAGCACGAAAACAAGTATCGTGTGCTGTTAATGCAGACTTAATGCAGGATTCACACCGCGTCCGATGTCCGACATACAACATACGACGTCCGATATCTAATAAGAGAACAGCTTTCCAATGGAGAATAGAATTTTCTATTAGAAAGCTTTTCTCCTATTGGATATCGGACATTGTACGTCGGACATCGACGTGATGTGAATTCTGCATAAGGGTCTGCACAGGAGTCATACTAGAGACATCTGGCGGAAAGCGAACTAGACAAACGTAATAGTAACCGTAAGACGTAACGTAAGAATTGACCAATTACGATAAAATATTCACAAAAATGGCGACCTTATGTTTCGACGATTCTCAACATGATTGGTCAATTCTTACTTTGCATCTTAGGGTGCCGTCCCATTGAGCACGGATCGGAACGCTGGATCGGATTTCTTACTATAATGAGAACGTTCCGTTCTCTAGTTCCGTTCCGTAAAAGTTTCCTCTACCAGTCCCATGTAGCAAAACGGAAAGGATTTCTAGTTATAAAATATATTTCACTCTTCAATTAAATATTTCAGAATATTCATGACAATGTTATCGGCAAGATAATTGCATAAATTATGTATATAATTAATTCTGTCGCGTCAAAATAACGAAATATTGACGAATTAATCATATTTATTTGCGACCGACGCGCCATTCCGTTCCGTTTTTGCACCACTGCGTTCTCTATCTTGAACATCAAAATCACCATTTTTAAATCGGTTAAACCAATCTCTGCATGTTCTTTTCGACAGAGCATGATCACCATAGGTTTCTACAAGAATTCTGTGTGCTTCAGCTGCAGATTTCTTCTGAATAAAGTAGTGCAGTAAAATTTCCCGCAAAAACGGTTTATTTGGCACGAAATTTGACGTTTTACGCTACGAAAAGAAAATGTTCTTTATAGGTTAATGGAAAGACACGCACTGATTTTAAACATAGGTTATAGAACTTCAATATAGATGCGTCATCATCTTGAATTATACACACAAAATTTTTATACCGCCATCTGATGGTGAAACGGCGAGAACTTATTTACACTCCCGATACATATCAACACATGTCACACATGGAAGCCGCCATATTCTTGCAAACAACCGAAGTTTGCGCATCTCTTACTAGAGCATCTCTACTCTCAGGCTTCTCTCTGATTGCAACAAAATGGCAGCGTCCAGCAGAAAAAGTAGCGTGATGTAAAATATATGAGAAATTATATTTCTGTAAAAACAGGATTAATAATACATGCAAAATGCTCGTTGGCGGTAGAATTATATTTAGTTACACAAATCGTGCTGTAACAAAATGTAAAGTAAATGTAAGTCTTTGATTATAAGATAATCGTTATAATTATTACAATATGAAGTAATAATAAGTAATATTCTATATTAACATGAAACAAAAAAAATATATATTATATAAATATATAATTCTACTTTTTTTTTAAAGGTTTCTTTAAATAATCAAACTTCATTGTTGGCAGCCAATGTACACAATGTAGTCGCCAGTAAGACTATCCCTTTATTGAAAGAAACAGTTTCACCAGTTAATAGGTATGTTTCTAGAACACACACATGTGGTGAGCTAACACTTAAAAATCTTGGAGAAGAAGTAAATTTAAGTGGTTGGATGGAATTTAAAAGAATGGAGAGATTTATAATATTACGAGATTCTTATGGTTCAACACAGTTACTCATACCAGAAGATGTATGTGAATAATAGTTATATATTAAAATTTTTTGAATATTGCTTTATGTATATATCATTGAGAAATTCTTAATAATTTCAGAGGAACGATTTGATAAAGGCTATGGAAGATGTGCCTTATGAAAGTGTTTTAAGAGTAGCAGGCAAGGTTGTATCAAGACCTGAAAGTCAAAAAAACAAAAAAATAAAAACTGGTGACATAGAAATACATGTAGAATCGTTGGAAATTTTAAATTTGGCATCTTGTAATCTACCAATACTTATCAGAAATCATAATAAAGCAACAGAGGTCCAGCAAATGAAATACAGGTATCTTTCACTGAGATATCCTGAATTACAGAGGAATTTAAGGATGCGCTCTCAACTTATAATGAAGATGAGAGAATTTTTAATCAATGAATGCAGTTTTGTGGATATTGAGACTCCAACACTTTTCAAACATACTCCAGGGGTATGTTTCTTAATGAAGAACCTATATAAATTTGTTGTAAATATATCAAATTTATTTATTATGTTTAGGGTGCTCAAGAATTCATAGTACCTACGAGACAACCAAATAAGTTCTATTCGTTGGTGCAGAGTCCTCAACAGTTCAAGCAGCTCCTCATGGTGGGTAGTTTCGACAGATATTTCCAAGTTGCTCGGTGTTACAGAGATGAAACTGCTAGACACGACAGACAGCCGGAGTTTACACAGGTAATTATATTCACGCGCATATAGACAATGTTTTATATCTTATCATCAGTTATGTTGTAGTTAGATATTGAAATGTCGTTTGTTGATCGAGAAGGAGTGATAAACTTGATCGAGAATTTGCTGGTATATTCATGGCCGGAGGAGTTAGATTCTATAGAAATACCTTTCCAGCATATGACATACAAAGATGCAGTGGAATTATATGGTACTGATAAACCAGATTTGAGAATACCATATCAGGTACAAAAGGATACACACATGTAATTTTTTTTTTACAAAATTATATTGTAATGACTATACTTTTCTAGATACAAGATCTCACACATTTGGTTGATCCAATAATACTGAAGAAAGAGACTATGAAACTACAAGATGGTGAGCAGAAGATGTATGCGTTAATTTTTTCGAATAAATCGGTAAGCGATGACGATTTATTCAATAAAATTTACATACTATCTATAGCATACTGTTAGTGTAGTTTAGGCGAGTTTTTTAATTCATCGATGGATCCATCGCATGATTTAAAAGCTCGTCCTTTTTACATCCTAGAAAGGACTGACAAGATCTGTTAGAGATGAGCTCTCGAAAATCCGTGATAAGTACTTTACCACTACAAGGTTTGTTGCATTGAAAATTGAAAACAATTCATGGAGAACTCAACTGGAAAAGTTATTTTCTAGAAGTATAACAGAAAATATAGAACAGTTCTGCAAATTGCAAGAAGGAGATGCAGTATTATTAGCAATTGGACATCATATTGACGCGGTGAGTCGCTATTCTTCTAACGATAATATATTTCATCTTCTTTATCTTAATGAATTAATCGTTATATATTTCAGTTGGAACTTTTAGGGAAGCTACGTGTCGAATTCACGAATTTATTAGAAGCAAAAGGCGAACAAATACGCTCGTCTAAAACTGAATTCTTATGGATCACGGACTTTTCTTTGTTCACATTCAAGGAAAAGTTAGAATCGACACATCATCCGTTTACGCAACCTCATCCGGACGACATCGAATATCTTGCAAGCGACCCTTTAAAAGTAAGGTTAAGAGTTCAAGACTAAAATGACTCATCTCGTCATACTTTCTCTTATCTGTATTTTCCGTCCGTGTTAGGTCCGAGGATTGCATTATGATCTAATTATGAACGGATCGGAAATCGCGGGTGGTTCCATACGAATCCATGATGCAAATCTACAACGTAAAATATTAAAGTTATTGGATATAGATGAAACGACGTTGTCGCACATGCTCGAGGCTCTTACATCCGGAGCTCCACCTCATGGTGGGATAGCTTTAGGTATGGTGTCTTTGGTAATAAACATCTACGTTTGTGAATCTCGAAATAACATTTTTACGATCATTATATGCGTTCTTGAAGGATTGGATCGTCTGGTTTGCATGCTCTGCAACGCAAAAAGCATAAAGAATGTCATAGCTTTTCCAAAATCGACAGAGGGACTAGATCTCATGGCCGAAGCACCGGGTATCATTTCAGACGACTTAAAGACATTGTATAACATACAAACTGTAAACAAACACAGTGCTGCAAAGTAAGGTGATTTTTATACAATTACCAAGTACAGCAAAGCGATTTTGAATCGAGTGATTGCATTTCGTATCTTTGTGTATAAGGTAATTTAATTTCTTTTCGCAAATTAACTTGCATATTACACATTGGTAAGTGCATAGTAAACATTGGGAGAATGTAATTGTGAGTGGACTAAATAGAAAGACGAGATATAGATGTACAAAAAAAGTGTTTTATTGTTTCGAGTAAACTCTCGTGCGTTCAATCGAAATTGTTCTACAGAAAAATAAAAAATACAATTTTGCTTGCGCACTAAGCTATCGAGAAGACATCCACTTTTCAAGAAGGATCTCAAAAAAGGCGCCCACCTTTTTTTGTACACTCCTTGAGGATTTTTTGTTAAGTGAAACCGTCAACCTAACAAATCTCTTAACAAATACGCTGATATGTTGTGACTATCAACTGTCGGCGGACGAAAATTCATTACATCGTTCACTTTTTTTTCTTTTAATTATATGTATACTTATCCAATTTAAATTTAAGTCCGATTGGATGTACTTATCAAATTTATTGCTGCAATTCTAAACAGAATCGTAAGGCTCGTTCGTAAGACTCGTAAGAACTTATGAATAGACCTGCAATTCTATGCGTATCGTATGTCATCCGATCACTTGTAAATATCTACGATTTCTTGTAAATCGGCTAATAGGTTAAGATGCATATGAAGCTACAAACCCGTTAGAGCGCTTAAAGATAGATTCTTATTGGTTTAAATACGATGCATAGAACTATTTTCCAGCATTAAGTGAACTTTACCCAAAAGTCACTAATCATAACTATGGACATGTAAAGATGAACGGTACAGATGTTGGTATAGAATTGCGGTTTACATAAAACTATAACTTCGCTTCTTACGATTATTTTGCATGTTACGACTTTACGATTTATTCGTAAATTTGCTTAGAATTGCAGCATAAAACAGCCCATTAAATCGGAACGTTATTCATATTTATCCGTTAACAAAATGTGATTGATGTCGCGTTCAAATCTGCTGGTGAAAATGATGAAAAACTCGTCAGTTATCGACAGAATAATGTAATTACAATAAAAAGTCTGTTCAATCGCTCTTGCGATTCGTATCACAAAAACAAATCGTGGATTAACAGTACGCGCTAGTCTTTCGAAACGATAACGAAGATATTCCGACAGAAGCGTCATTTTCCTCATGTAGTCATCGTCGAGTGCATACAAGTCGTGATTTTCGCACGGCCGAAGCAGCATGTCGGATCGAGTTGTCGGGCAATTCTGATTATTCCTGTTATCTTACAAATTAGGTGTACAGAGTGTGATTCACAGTAGATCACAAAACTCTCTTTGCCAGTGACGGAACAAAAGTTACTCGATGTCCTTCAACTTCACATACGCTTTCAGCAGACAAAAATATACATACACCGTTTCCATTATGTTATACTGTGTGCGGATTATTCGTATCGCTCCGATTACAACGCGACGTTTCTATGTCATCCGTATGTTTCTAGCAAAAATTGCGACCGATTTGACCTCGATGAGTTCGCTCCCCGACATTGCACGCGACGAGATATACGGGAGAAGAAACGGCGTCGCATCCTCGCGTAACTCGCGCGGACATTGCGATTGTTGTCGCGTTATGCACACATCGTAACGTGGAACTCAACGAAATCAATAACTGTGTCAATTTTTGGTTTCTAGTATGCTAGAGCGCATGCAATTACAGCAATCTTGGCGCAAGGCCCCGTAATTCGGTATATCGATCGCGTGACAAATCTTCTCGGGAATCAATAACAACGAGCGTTCGTGTTTCACTTCTACTTGGCTATCGAAAAACCATTTGTACGAAGACTTAATGCAGGAACTTAGAAGAAGAATCACAAGAATCCACCGTCAAAATTCGGGTGTCTCTTTTCTTTTTTTTTTTTTTTTTTTTTTACAAAAGGTACAACGTATTCTTCGAACGCAAGCGATTATTAACAGCAAGACAAGTAGTGTTCATGAACCACATTCAAGATCTCCTTTTCGAAATCGTATTTTACTTTTTAAATGTTCTCTCTATCTCTCTCTTTTCTCTTTTTCGAGTTTAAGTCTCTTGCATATATTCTCTCGTACTGTGTGTATGCGTGTGTGTATATATATATATATGTGTGTGTGTGTGTATAACACACATCTATCTTAAATTAAATTCGAATCCTAAAATCCCTAATACGCGTTAAATGGCCGTAATGAACGAACGATTTCACGATGGCAGGAGCGCAATCGCGTTGCCATATGATAATAATTCGGAATATGCCAACATTCTCACGATCTCGGGAAACGTTTCAAGTTTCGTTTTACTCTCATCTTCAGCCTCACGCGTGCGGTATCACGCGAACGTGCGTACTTCCACGCAGCATGACTCTCATCGTGCGAGTCACGAATCGTCGAATACCTTTGAGATCGGTCGCGAATTTATACGGTAGAAAAAACGGCTTATCACCAGCGCACGTAACATGTGTGACACGTGAGAACGAGAAAGTTGACTTCGGCGTATGTACAAATGTGTCACGGACTCTTCGCTTACAAAAAAGTTCCGTCATGACTCGTACGCGAGACCTAAAGCGCTCTTACGCCCCCTGATCGACCGCTGTTTTCTTTATTTTTCCATTTTCGTGTTTTCTTTTGCAATGAAAGAGCGTTCAGGCGATCGCTCCACGAATTCGGTCGATGTAAGTAGTAGTAGTAGTAGTAATAATAATAATAATAATAATAATGATAATAATAATAATAATCGCCTATTTTCGTGTTTTCTTTCTCATAGAAGTTTTAGTCGCGTCGGGCAGTTAACACATACATACACACACACACACACACATTCGACCGCGACTTTTTTCGTCGGGATATATACAATTTTAATTATACGTATCCGTGTCTCTATTAACTTATCCTGGGATATGGGAACACAGTGCTTCGTATTTTCTTTTTTTTCTTTTTTTCGTTTTCTTCGCTCGCTTTTTCAGTTGGCTGGCAGTATGACGTGTGTTACAGGCGTTTAGTCTAAATACGCGGGTCGCTCATAGTTACTCGAGATGACTCGATTCGCCATTTCGACCCTTTCACCGCGCAATGACTGTGAGATAGAGCGCGCAAAAAAAAATAGAAAAACGGCGATACGACAACAATAGCACACGCGTCATTAGATAATGGAATTCATCCGGCGTAGAATCTAGGGCTTCAATATTTTTTTCGAGTCGAATATGTGGGTAGTAAATAAATAGGACTTCAAATTCGAATTTCTCAAGATACGCGAACAGTTGAAACATCAAATCCGAAACCGAATCTAAATTCGCAAGAGAATTGACTAAACAGATGCGGTCGTAGTAACCTAAATTTCTCTTGAAAATTTAACAGTCAATGTTTTTTTACAATTTAACGACTTAAGGGGTTTTCTTAATGTGACGGCCTAAAAATAAGGCAATTTTCAGGAATTTTTTTTTTTAACTATTCGGTATATTAATTTGAAATTTTGTAGATTTATCCATATTTGAAAAAATCCAGTTTTTTGTAAGTAAAAATATTGATTCTATCAAAAGTTGCAACAGTTCTACGGAAACGCCTAACAAATTTTTTTCCTAATCAGCTGTCCTGGTTGTCTGAAATAAAAAATTGAAATTCTTAATCTGGATGAGTGTGCTTATAACTCGTACTAGAATAAATATTAGAAAATAACAAAATAGCATGCAACGCCTCAAAGAAAAAGTTTTTGCTAGTTTTTTAAGTCGTAAAATGCGAATTTTGCAAATATCGACTTGATTCTAGTACGAACGAAACGTAGTGACGCGTCTACTGAATATATCTACAAAGTTTCAAGTAAATTTGTTAATTGATTTTTAAGATACCGTGGCAACCATTTCTAAAACGCGTATGAAGTTTTGCGTACTGATAAAAAATACATAAAATGAAAAAAAATCATATTTACAGCTAACACAACACAAAGCCATATACTACACCTTCTTCTTCCTCGTAATACATTTAAAGCAGTATTCGCATTCCAGCAAGCCTTCGTTAACACTTCCATGTGTTTCTTCTCAGCGATCTTTATTCTGTGCTTCGTTTCTTGACGGAACTTTTCGCTACCGGCCCGATTATTATCTCCATCGTTTCGAAAGTCTTCCGAATAGAATACCTTTCATTGAAGATTATCATAGTAATTTGTATAGCTTTAACTCCACAGTTCAAGTGCTTAGCAGCAAAGTGCTATAGTAAATCATTGAAGCTAATCAAACTACTTTGTAACCGAACTGACTTCTAAGTACTAAATACAACTCATTACTACAAATTATACTACATATATGCAGCTATGTCAATTTGTGTTCTATTTTCGATAGCCTTAAAGGTTGACCTCTCTCTCTGATCCCTGCGCGCTTGGATTTCTGCTTTGTGCGTCACTTCACTTCAAGGTCTATAACTTTATCAATTTTTCGAATTCGGCTAAATCTCTTTGGAATTATGTTTTCAAGATGTTAAACTGTAAAAAAAATGCAAAAAAAACGAAAAATCAATTTTTTAAACCCGTCACATTAGGAAGATCCTTTAATCTGAGATAATTGTATTCATTTATATATTTCAATAATACTTATTTCTGACAATTTTCTTATTAGATTGATAAATCTTTTTATCTGTTCTCTTTTATTTTTAATTTGGTTCTGGGAGAGGATCTCAGTTCTAGATCCAGATCCGAATTTCTTCTTATGGTCTTCTCATATTTGGAAGCCTTAATAGAATCTAATGAGCGCGATCGTCGTTTATCGAAACGATTGACTGCGCCACGACAAATAAGTCGTTGATCGCAATTACGCGCGCCACGTGTGAATTCTAAATTTCGACGGAGAGGTATTATACATAAAATGGAACAATGGAACGCAACGCGCGTCACAGAATCGTGCAAGTGCTCGACGCGATTACAAAACGCACGCACGCACGCTCTTCGTCTTACAAATTAAAAACTGCGATTACATTATAAGCGTTTTGTACTCCGAGGTGCGTGTTCGTACGCATTCCGGAACTGAAGGTGGACGAAGTTCGTCGTTTATCGCGCAGAAGAGACGAAGTTTTTCAGCGCGATTGCTGCGTGAAAAAAAGAGGTTGAAGATTACGAATTCGAGAGGCAGCACTCGTAGCCTGAACACAGTGGGGCTTGAGAATCCGTTGGTCGGGAAGCTGTCGAGCAGTCGAAAGGGTCGAGGTCTTCCGTGTGATATCTGTCGGCGTCAATCCTCGTCGCATAGACAACACATGCGAGATTCATCATCCCGAGCGCTCGAGCTAGAGTACATATATGCCCTGTCAAATACGATTTCACTCCCGTTTCTACGCACACTGTGTCGCCGTTATAAAAAATACTATTTTACAACGCAGATGACAAGCCCGTAGAGATTCCGCGCTCTCTTTCTCTCTCTCTCTCTCTCATACACACGCGACATAGATGCGTGAGATACGTAACAAACATACATATAACAATCATACGTGGAATCGCACTGTAGTAGTTGTGGTAAATCGTATGCTTACTCACGTGCTCTCACATGCACGAATAAAATATCATTGACCACTCACGCGCTCTCGTACGAAATCTGCTTAAGGGGAGACTTCTAGAAACTCTACAGGAAATACAATGGATATTATCGTATGTACATACACGAAAGGATGGAGAGGCAGAGGCGAGCGTTCGAATAGACCGAGCGACGGTCGCGAGCAGAAAGTCGCTATGTAACATCGCGGAGACCGAGCCATCCCGTATGATCTGTATCAGTTTTCAGACTGAGGGATGATATCGAGCACTTTGCAAATGCGCGTGCGACGCGGCGAATTCTTTCTTTATCCATTTTTTGTCTTCTTTCTTTTTTCAAGAAGTAGAATGACGACGCTCGTCTAGAGTTCCTTAAGTAAAAATTAGAACGACGCGCGATAATTCCTGATTAGATGGGCTCTATTCGCTATTAATAGGGAAGAAATAAACACGAGGAAGAGAGAAACTCTAATAAAAGTGAAAGAGAAGTTGAAATGACGGAATATGTCGCAGCTTCTCCCTCACTCACTCATTCATTTCTTCCCTACAAATGGCAGACGGTGTCCCAATTCTCACTTGTGGAACTCTACGCTCGTCTATTCGCCCGCGTTGTATCATACTCGCTTTTTACGGAGGCAGAATACTACGTCGCCGAATTGGACACAAACGTCGATTAATATTACTGTACTATCGTGAGGATATAATTAACACGCCTATAGAAACCGTATTTTCTATGAACATTTAATCGTGTCTTGTCTTCTCAGCCGGCCCGCCGGTTCAGTTTTACGCGTATACTCATTAAAAACGACACCGTACGCCTTCGTACGGTAAAATCGCGGGAGAATCCGTCGCCGACAACTGCAATGTGCTTCGTGGTGCTCGCACAACGCGTGTCACAGCTTCAACACTCTAGCTGACGTGATAAAAATTTGCGATGTTTTCCTCGCGTCTAGAATACGTATCTGACGCATCTTCGATGACGACGATGGTATATTACGATCATCACAATCGTCTGCGAGTCGAGGATATCGCGGAGAAGCATCTCTGAGTTTTTTTCGAGACGGTTGTCGCCGGTCACTGCGACCGACAACGATGATATCCATTCGCAACGTTTGCTTCCTCTTCTTCGTCCTCTTCGATCATATCGATGCCGGATATTCGTTATTGTGGTCTATGAAATGCTTTCGGCTGGCATTCGCTATATGCGTGTCGCTCTGTGTGTATGCATGATACGTATATTGTGTGTACAGGGCATATTTAGATCGCTGACAGTCAGTATGCACGATGTTGCGTGGCCACATGTAGGAGGAGGATCCTGGAAGATGTTGTCGAGTGCTCTTCCCCAATTTTTTACACGAACTGCAAAAGATTATATTCTATACACACTACACATTTAACACTGACGGGTCCTCCTCTCTTTTTCATTAACAGCAGGTGTGCATCATTTTGTGTATCGTGTTTGCAAACACAAACGTACAAGAACGTGCATGTTTAACGTTGCACGCACAATGAAAGTAAGAATCAAAGAACGGTGACTAAACATCAAATACTGCATTACTTACGTTGCAATAAATAAAGTCACCGACGCTGCAGTGAAAAGGAAACTATCGACGAATTAGATTTCCATCTCGATCCGCTTCATTCGGCAATTTCTGATCTTGCGGTTTCGACCCGCTCAGAAGGATCCTTTCATACATGCGGCCATGTGACATGTCGGATTAATCATAATGATACCGTAGTAAAGAACTTAATGCTATTTTTCCCAGGCATCAATGGGACTCGAATCCCATCGACTATCCGGAATTCGTTCACATACGGCTTTACGTTTCACAGTTGACATCTGAATGCCTTCTTCTAGACGCGCGAGACCAGCTGTAAAAAAGTGCAAAGCGTTAGACGCTCCAGCCAATAACAAGTGTTCTCCATCGCGTCGAACTGCGGAATAGAAAAGTTATCGCGATTGCATCGGTCTGTATATCGATTCGGTAGAAGAACGAATCGTCGAAAACGGTACAATCTGATTTCATCGATACAAACATCTCACGAGAGAGACGCTTGATGCAGACAAAGGCTTATCCTGAAGTTTCTTTTATCAATGAGTGTTTCTAAATGATTTGTAAGGTCATTATTCTGCTCTTTTATTAATAAAAGTGTCTTTCTAAATGTGACTGCAAGGCAATCAGAGGGCTTACAAGTCACTGTCCCTGTTTCAATATAATTTAAATTTTAATTTATGTTTAATTGTCAATTTTCTGTTATTGACGAAAGTACCTCTAAGCTAACTGAAAGTTAAGACTTATCATATATATAGTTAGACTATATATCATACTTAGAAGTACTTTTATTGATAAGAGAGTTCAGAATAAGGAATTGAGTCTTTTTAGACCTGTTCTTTCTCGAAGAACTTGTTCAACTAGGGTCCACTGATGCAACAAGTTACAGCGAAACAAGTATATTTTGTTTTGTACAGCAGGAAAGTTCTTAAAAAAAAAAAACTGGTCTTTTGAATAGAGTTTAAGCTCAGAAGGTTTAATCGATGTTTGCTAGAAATAGGCATTAGAGATAAAATCTTTATCGATAAAAGAGAGTTTAGAATAAAAATTTTGTGAGACACATTTGGAGGCACTCTTATCAATCAAAGAGAATAAGGACCGGAGTGGTACATTAATATATACGCAAGGACATTGCGCGCTACCCGGCGGACAACATCCTTCCAGACATTTTGAGAAATTTTTTATACTAATCTCGACACATACAATTTTTTTCATATAAATATGGAGATCCTCGAAGTCGACGTTACTCCCGGTAGAACGTTACTTCACCGTCGCAGTTTTCAAACAAGTCTACCACGAGACGAGATTCATTCTACACGGCGAGTCGCTCGTATACACGAACAGAAAATTTCAGTTCGTGCAACTGAATGAAAGGATCAGATGAAAAACTCATTGACAAGAAATGATGTCTCTGTCAAGATTCGTCTGTAATACGCGGCGTAACATTGGTATAAATTGGAGTAAAAAATAAACACAATTTATTTCTTACGCCTATATTTCAATTCCTCTCGTAAGAGCAATACTTGCAGTATTGCAGTAAAGAAGTTAAAGTATAGGCGTCAGCGATATAAATTATTTATAATATAAATATAAATAAATATTTATATAAATAAATTTATATAAATATAAATTATTTCTTACTCCAACTTACTACGCGTGTTATAGACGAACCTTTCCTGTGACTGAAGACATTCATGTGTACTGCATCAAAGCTCGGTTGAGGTAACTGAGAGCAATTGGCTGAGTGGAAACTCCTCTCAGAAGAATCTTTCTTTTACAATCGAGTTTTTCGTCTGATTGCCTGATAACAGAACATGCAGTTACACTAACGAAATTGTTTTCTCGTGTGTACAGCCGGGCGAAGCGCTTTTAATCGCCCGGAACGAACAGACGAAACGCATGGAAATCTAATGGAAAGAAACTGTCTGCTAGAACAGGATGTGCTCATCCAATGTATTGATAGTAGACTTCGCATTTTTCGTATTGTTAAAAATCGCTACACACACACAGGTACATAGAAATAGAATTATGTACACGAGACACATTTGCGAAACGACACATTTTTGTCGTTCAGTATGAAATGTGAATTCTTTTTTTAGCTTTCTTCAAGCCACTTTCGTCCTATGTCGTTGCCCTGCGAGATGTGCATCGTCACGTATGAAGACAACGATGATGTACAGATGAAGAAGGTATATTTTCCCTACGAATCCTCCTGAAGCGTGAACGAGCGAGCGAGGGGGTCAAGCTATTACGACTAGCCTTCTCGATTTGCCCGTCGTCTCAAAGACTGCGTTCAGCAAAGAAGGCTGCTTTGCAACTGTTGTGCAGAACCCGTGAATCTGACTGGTGTATGCATCTTAATCCTGGCTGAATCCAAAAGTATATACGCGGAAAAGAACAGTTCGGGCAACTGAATGGGAACTGGATGAAAAACTCGCTGGCGAGAAATGATACCTCTGTTACCTGAAAACATTTTGGTCTGAACATTCAGCTGCATAAAAGTCTGACCTATAATGTGCTTTTCGCTTTCTATTTCTTGTTCTCTATCTTTTTCCAGTTTAAATCACAGAAAGAGATAAAAAGAAAGAAACAGAAGGTAAAGAGTATATTGTAGATCAGGCTTCAAATTTGATTGATATAACTAAGAGCAATCTTTCTATACCTACAACCAAGTTTTTCATTTGGCCCCCCAAATAGCAGACAATAATAGAGTCATTTTGTATAGTATAGTCTCCATGTGGTGTATGGAGAAAAAGATTTTATTCATGCAACCAAATGGGGACCAGACGACAAACTCGCTGACAAGAAATAATTTCTCTGTTATCTATAATATACTCTTTGCTTCCTGCCTTTTTTATTTTTTTCTGACTTGACTCTTAAGCTTTTAATCAGGAAAAGGTAGAAAACAAAAAACAGAAAACAAGGAACACATTGTAGATCACTTAAAATTCAGCTGGGATAGCTAAGTAGAAATCTCTTACTGGAATTTTTTATTCCCACAACTGTTTTTCATCTGGCCCCGAATAATAGAAAATTTAATCACACTGATGGAATTGTTTTTTTCTATGTAAAGTATGATCATGTAACTGAATAGGAACCAGACAGAAAACTCGTTGACAAGAAGTAACATTTTTATTGTTGCGAAAAAATTCGTCTGGGCAGTCAGCTGCATTGAAATTGGGTTGAGGTAGCTGAGCACAATTTGCTGAATAAAAACTTCCAGTAGGAATCTTTCTGTTCCTACAACCAAGTTTTTCATCTAGTTCCCAAGTAACAAAAAATTTATTTATATACTAACTAGTTAGTTCGGTTACTAATGTAACTGAAGTTTGTAGTGTAACTCAAGTTTTACACTAACAACCAACTAACTAAAGTTACACCAACTAACCAGTCAGTTTAGTTACTACTGTAACTAAAGTTACACCTGTACTACTGTAGTTAAAGTTACACCAACAGAGTTGTCTCTTCTGTGTACCAATCAGGCTCGCGAATTACACGTAAAGGTTGCGAGGTAAATTTCTCTGCTGAGTGCAGCCGCAGTCGATCCCGTCCCGGAACCGGCGTGTCATACGACGGCTGTTTTGTACATAAGTGTAAATGCAGTATTCGCTCAACTGAAGTATAACTCATCCTCTCTCTCTCTCTCTCTCTCTCTCTCTCTCTCTC